ATATTGTATTGAAAATGCTTTGAACTGTCACCTGTTTAATTTGATTGAAAGATGTTAATGGAGAATGGGAGTTGCATCAGGGCTTATGAACTCTTATTTTGTTGTATTCTGTAATATATAATATATTTGTGTAGGTTCGGTCCATTTTCTTCAAGGTTTTATAACTGACTGTGCCTGTTGCTTTTCAGATGTTTCATATAAAAGCTTTGGAGGCCGTGGACTTTTTGGAGACATTTCTATCGATGAATCCAGATCCAAGGTATCATGTGATGCTTCACTATGCTTAATTTTATTACATTAATATGAAAAGTGTAAGATTTATCGTTGATTCAGATTAAACTGTCTATGCTTCATGTTTTGTATAGACGATTTGTATTATTTATTTTGTTTTATCTTTTTCACTTCATGTCTAGCAATCAGGATTTAGGACATTGATATGGCATCTAATTAGGCGTTCCAGTCTTGACCCTGGCAGCATATATTAGATTATTAGCTTTATCAGTTGGAAAGTTTACGTGGCTACTTCTGCCCAGTTGTGTTGGATATATCCTCCGAGAGTCTGCTCATCCATTGTACATCTCAGTTATATTGTATTGTTAAAAACTTTGTCCAACATGGTTATTCTAGTTCGTCTCCACTGTATCTAGGGTCTTCTCCGATGTTAAACCATATTAAAATGTATCCTTTTTAATTACTAACTTCCATGATATTTTGGTCAACACTAGGTACAGGCGTACCCACTAATTTCATCATATTTTCCATTCGTTGGCTATATTGGTTAACCAATTTATTAGCTATTTTGGCACACTTGATATTTTGGCATGTTTTCTATTTGAGTTCTGTATAAAAACTATTTGGATGCAAATCATGTAAGACTAATAAATATGCTATTTTAAGTAATTATTATAAATTATTTAATATAATAATGAATAATAATCAAAGAAAGTCATATATATGATAAATGGAAACTATTCAAATTTTATTAAAAGGATGCTACTTTAGGGATAATCGGTAGTTTAACCATGGCTAATAGGATAAAGAAAGTGAGAAGGGATCTGCTAAGGATCGATGTCTATCCTTGATCATTTATCCATTCAAACAGAGAGAAAGTCTCTTCCTTTTTTTCTCTATTGAAAATGAAATTTTTTATCTTACAATGATAAAAACTTACTGCTGATGGCTTTCCATTCTCTTCACAGTGGACAGGTTGAATTTCACAATTTTCTCAGGGTTCTAAGACTGAAACCTTGTTCTCTGTCGGAAAAGGTAAGCCTCTGAACATTTTTTTAATAGTGCACCTTGTTAGCAATTCTTTTCCTTTCACTGTTTTGCCAAAATGGTGCTTTCCATGTTTCCTATTGTTTCTTCATAGGGACGTTTTGGGGATTTAAATAAATGTTAACAGTTGAAATTGAAATGTCCAGGAATGGTAAATATAAGATCAGTTATAAATCTCTCTATTTCCTTGCTGTGCAATATGTGTTTTCACTGGGTCTGTTGTGCAGGAAGTTGGCTTGAAACTGTCTGTTGTATCATGTTTTTTTTTTCTTTTTATGTTTCAAGGACCATGTTTTTTCTTATTTTAGTACTTACCAATATTAGGAATTAGTATAGATTTTATCCTAGAATAACTTCGGTCATAGAATATCAGTATTAAATTTGATCATGTAACACAAACAGATGATATTATTTCAGTGATAGAAGTAGTTGGCTTTTCAGTGGCTAGGCTTGCAGATTCATTCGAAGATAAACTTTGTTTTCTGGTTGTGTTAATAATAATGCATATTTACTAATTTTCTTGACCTCATTCCCTGATTTTGCAGATATTTGGATTCATTGATGTGGAGAAGATCGGTAAAATAACATTTAAGCAGGTAACTTGTTACTGTTCATATTGGTGCATATTAATGACATTATGTTCCACGCACTCCTGTATTTCCAGAGGCACCTAAATTCTAGTCTCATGCATTTTTTGGAACTGTGCAAAAGTAACCAAAAGGAAATTCACAGTCAGATATTTGTTCAAGTTTTTTATATAAATTTTGAGATTAAGGCACCGTTTGGTAACCATTATTTTAGAAAAAAATGTATTCTTTGTGTCAAATCACACCTTAAATGTGATAATGTGTAAAAGTTATGAACCTTTCATGCAATTAAAATGTAGGCACCGTTTGGTAACCATTCTTTTTTTCATTCTCATTCTTCTACTAATTATTTTTTGTGGTTGAAAATGAAAGAAAAGTTATTGATGTGATGGAAAATATTATTTTATTGATGAATGTGTGGTTGAAAATTAGTAGAAGAATGAGAATGAAAAAAAGAATGGTTACCAAACGGTGCCTAAGGCATAATTTATCATGCCTTGAGATTAAGTGCTTGTTTGGATAAAATTATAAGTTCCTGAAATTATAATGTGATAGAAACGTGTGGTGGATTAGTGGGTAGTAGTTGTGGGTCTTACGAAATGTGTGGTTAAATGAAGGTATGACTAAATTACAAAGAAATTATAATGTTTCCCATACTTGAACTAAGGTTTTTTACCATGCAATACTTACGCTACTTTTGTGCATGTTGTTTCAGTACCTGCTTGGATCAGCCCACATCTTGAAGCAGCCACTCTTCAAACAAGCTTGTGAACTAGCATTTACTGAATGTGATATTGATGGGAAGAATTGCATTTTGAAGCAAGAGGTATATATGGATTTTCTCTCGGTGTCCTTGACACTTCATTGTTTTAACTTGAAGTGTCATGATTTCTGAATGCTTTTGTGACAGTTAAGAGATGCAGTTACACTCGCAGTCCCAAACATGAGTGAAGATGAGGTGGGTGAAGGAATTATCTGCACATGAGTTTTACTTTTTATTTTCATTATAAAACCGTGGAGCCTAACGAATTATTTTTGAATCACATAGAACGGGACTTAAAAGAGATTCTCAAAATAAGTAATTTTTGACTACTTGGAAAAATGGCTTTTTGGTTAATAATTTTTATAGCTCTTTTAACTAAATCGAACTTTCTTTGGATTGTGAAATGAGTATTGTATAATTTCTATAATTTTCAATTTCTTTCTTCTCTTAGTTTAAATATTCTCGATTTGAGACTTGCAGATCTCTGGGCTTCATAGTTTATTTGATGTGGACGGCGATGGAAGAATCAGCAAATATGATTTCCTCTCTTGTTTAAAAAGACATCCATTGCTTATAGCACTTTTTTCACCTGGTTATGGCACAAAGGTTTGTCCATAGCTGATCATTGATAGGTTAGTACAGGAGGTGTTTTAGTGGATGAATGATGGGTAATGCTCAAAGTTTTAGCTTTTTTGTGAATGATTGTGGGGTGTATTTCTATGCCATTTGAAATGTACCATTTTTCTTTCTGAGTTTTGTATCCTACAAGACAAAGAGTGTTGATTGTATTGACATATTATTATAGTATTATTGCCTTTAGCTGGATCCTTTACACTGTGCTCGGTTATCTGCTACTTGTACTATGGCCACCAAAAGTAGATTTATATCTTTCTTATTGAAAGCTTGAAATTTTATAATATAAAGGGAGATGGGGAGGGAGTGTACCCCCCCCCCCCCACACCTACTTGCTGGTTGGTGGGGTTAAGCTGAACCAGCTCACGAACCGTTAGTCGGCCACCATTTTTTTTTTTGGAAAATGCTATGTGTACACCTTGTGGTGTATTGTGTGTGAGCCCCCCTCCATGTGAGGGGGGTGTGAAACTTTGTGTAGATCATTATGTACACATAGCACTTCCCTTTTTTTTTCTTTATTAAGAAAAACTATGATGACAATTAATTGTTTTTTCGCAAAGTAAGATATTAACCGTGAAGTCAGAACATTTCAATTTTGTAACTAGTGTTTGATAAAATCAATTTGAAGTTCTAAACATACTCAAATAAACATCCTTTTATTTTATTGTTGAAGATACAAAAGGGGATGACAGTACCAGAAAATAAGAAATTAGCACTTACCCTAATAAGAAAGAAGCACAGATTGTTCATCTTCGCTAAACGTGACACTTTGAGAAGATAGTCGTTGAATGACAGGCATAGGCAACTCCCAAGTAACATCCGTGGTGCTGTCTTCATATGGTTCTCGAGGCATTGTAGTGTGTTGAAGTCGTAAAGCATATTCTAAGTCCCACAACACGTCGACCATATTAGGCCTATCGACTCCACATTCTTGCAAACACCTCTCAACTGTAAATCCAAATTTCTTTAGCGAGTTAGGATTAATTTTCCCCACAAGCAAAGGATCCATGATTTTCTCTAGCTGTCCCTGCTTTTGCCAGGAAATCCCCCATTCAGCTAAGTTAATTTGCTCCTGCGGAAGCAAGTTGTTGATGACAGGTCTTGCACAAAGTATTTCAAAAAGTACCACCCCAAAAGAGTAAACGTCAGATTTTTGTGTAAGTTCCAAGCATCTGCAGTACTCGGGATCAAGGTATCCAAAGCTGCCTTTGACATCAGTAATTACATGAGTTTGATCAAGAGGACCTGATCGTGAAAGGCCAAAATCAGCAACTTTAGCCACATAGTGTTCATCAAGCAAGATGTTTGTCGATTTGATATCCCTATGGATGATTGCTCCATTAGAACCAGTGTGAAGGTAGTGTATACCTTTTGCTGCACCAATGCAAATTTCAAGCCTCTGACTCCAAGATAATTGAGAAAGCGAAGTGGATTTCCCTGAGTCGCTGCTCAAAATGTACAGATGATCTCTTAAAGTACCTTTCTCCATAAACTCATAAACAAGTATCATTTCAGACATTTCTTCACAATATCCAATCAACGAAACAAGATGCCGGTGGCGAATTTTAGATAAAATCATTATTTCAGTTTGAAACTCGGGAAGGCCCTGTCCACTTCCTGGCTCACTCCTTTTTATAGCTACTTTTCTACCGTCCCGAAGTATTCCCCTGTAGACTTTCCCAAAACCCCCCTCGCCAATCATCAATTTGGAGTCGAAATTTTTTGTGGCATAGACAATGTCAGACAAGGACACCTTCAAACCGAGGTTTAAATCAGCAAGATGGGATCCATTAACAGTTCTATCAGTTATATTACTATGTGAATTCCCCCCACAGAGATATCGCAATGGCAAATCAAAACTCTCAGCAAGCTTCGTTTTTTTCCGTTTCAAAACAATACATAACACGCCTAAAAAGATGAAAATTATCACTGTACCTCCTATACATGAACCAATGATTGTAAACGAGCCTTTTTTTGTATCGTCCTCTGGAGCCGAACCCGTGTCCTTGACAAGCTCCATGATTTCAACTCCATTTAGAAAGGATATTTTATGACGTGAATCACTTGGAGGCCCAATACTGATTTTCATAAAACCAGAATCATCCGAATCAACTACAATATCAACGAGGAAAGGAGCAGCATTTCTTCCAGTACTGTAAAATGGATTTATTCCAGTACCGAAATTACCATAGATAGAGAGATTGAATTCGAGGCGTTCGTTTGAGGTTTGGGGAACAATGTCACAGAAATGAACCCGAACAAAGTGTGTAGCTCTTTTCTTCACATCGAAATTCCATGAAATGTTGAAATTATTGTTTGGCCTACTTTCACTTGTGTTCATTAGTTTGGCAGTCTTGTAAACAAAATCAGGGGCGTCAAACGTGGTGGCTTCTCCAGTCACGTAGTCTATAGGGCTATCGGTAGAAAATTTGTTTATTGCCGAATCCTTGTTGAACAAATAAGCATCATCAGGTATCCAACTCCTCAACAGGGTGTCATTATTTGGCATAATATTTGATCCGCCAACGTTAATCCTATGAATTACACGTAAGGGGCTAGACAACGGACTCTTGTAGTCTGTCGCGTTTCCTTCTGGAGTTATATAATCAGGAATGAACTTAAATGGGGTAAGAAAAAATTCAATCGCATTGACAAAAGCAAGAGAATTCTGGGGTAAGAAATGAATCTTTAACTTTCCAGAGGTATTAATATTGAGGAAGAACTCTTTGATGACCGGTAAACTACTGCCGTTTTTGACACTGAAATTCGATAAAAGAGAAAACCCAGAAGCCAAAATATTGAATTGAGCGTCGAAGAGATTTTCCTCCGAGGAAAAGGGAAAGAAATGGAAACGTACCATATAGGTGCCATTTTGGACTTCATCTAGCTCATACCAAGATGGTTTCTTGAAAATTCTGGCACTTTGATAGAGATCCTTAGCTGAAGTAGGGTCTTTATTAATTGTGCTGATTTTGTGGGAGGACAAGGTGAAAGTGCTGGGATTCTCATCGCCAATGAAGGTCTGACCGGCGAACATGAAGCTAGAAGCTGAACCGCAGTTGATGAAGTACTTTTCAGGCAAAACATAACCCGAGGCCAGAGAGAAAATAGAAGAAAAGTGAAAGAGAAACAGAAGAAAAAGAGAAGCAGAAATCTTGTGGAACAGAAATTTTTCCATAGTTAATCTCATTGATGGAGAATTAGTGTTTACTGATATGATATAATTGGTGTGCAGGGATGAATAAATGAAGAGTAAATTGCACTGTATGTCAATTTTTGGATGATCATAAGACGTGTAAGAACATGGGTGTTGGACGGAGTTGACTTGACGCTTGACTTGTAGTTGCTTTTTTCTTTTTGTTTAATTTTTGATTCCAAAATGAGAATAATTGAGGATATATATATATATTTTTTTAAATTCTTAACCTCCAGCAGTACTTTTTGCTCATTCACGTTGGAATGTTTTAACTACAAGTATACCATTGCCCCCACCTTTGGAGCATCAACCATGCTACATGAACATATTCAATGACATATTTTAGAACAGGGGACCTATCATTCTTTCATTTGACAATTAGGGAAAAAAAAAGCAGTCAAACAAGTGCTTTTATTCTTGGGGCATTGGTTTAATGGACAAAAACTAACAATCAATATCCACTTATTTTCATCAAGAATAGAATGCATCTATATTTTATGACTACAACTATCTAAATCTGTTGGTGTAAGTCGACTCTACTGAAGTTATGTCTTTTAAAACAAAGTGAGTAGTTTGAGATAGACTGTTATTTGAAGGTATTTGATTGTGATGCAAATCAAGTTAACATGCTCTATTTTACTGTAAAATGTGATTAAGTTTGTGATTCACGGTATTGTGTGAAAGTCCGACGGAGTATACTTTTGAATTGCCCCGTAAATTCAATAGGAATCCTTCTCAAATTTTAGTTTACCATTTTGAAATGGTTATTCAAAATTAAGTTCAATATTTACTTTTACTCATCTTTTTGAGGCTTTCGCTGCAAATTCTACCTCTTGCGAGGCTTTCATAAAATGAACAAAGCTAAAACCTTGAGGCACATTCGTGAGGCTTACACATCGAGGGGAATAAAACACGTGCTTGTTTGTCTTGCATATTCTTGATATTTTGTTATTGATCTTAGCATTTTTGGCCATTTCCTTATAGTCTAAAATGTTTTGTGATTTATTTTCTTTTCTTTTCTGTGCCTTACTTGGAAGGGAAGGGATGGGAAAGGGAAGGGATGGAGAATACCCCACGACAGGGAGTGGAGAATATGACAGAGGATGAGGAGAAAGTAAGAGTGATGAGGAGGAAGATGTTGATCATTTCCTTAAAGATCCTATTTTACTTTTCTTTCATGATTACCAACTCGAGAACTTATTATTATTATTATTATTATATTTTTACATCATTTTGAATATTTTATTAATTTTTCTCGTAATTTGTCTAGAGACTTACACATCGCCTCACAATGAGAAAATGTCTCAATACCCGACTAAGCATTTTCAAATTTATGCCTTTTCTATTCCCCACAAGGGATGGGATCCCAATGTGCACATTGGAGAGTATTTATTGTTGAAAGTGCATTTCATGCATTTATCATAACTTCCGTTTTAGTTTTTGGGTTCTGAAAAAGATTAAGAAGTTTTATTTTAGATGAATTTAACTTATTAAATCACAAATTTCAACTAGAGTTTAATAGATACTAGAAAGGTGCCATTTAACATTATAATACTTGTTATGAGGCTTACCTTTTTAACTAGATGTACTGTTTCTACAGATATATGAAATAAAATGGTTAAATGACATTAACTATATTAAAAATTTTAATGCTCAACAAATACTCGAAATATGCAACAACGAAAAGAACGTTGTGTAGTGATAATTGTGTATTACATGCTTATCATGCCATTAAACTTGATAAATATTGTTAATTGGATGTAAATATGATAATTTATTGGAGGTAAAACTTGGACTTAGATATATTTGTAGTGAAAATGGAAGGTTTTTGAATTTTAATTGGAATTGATTCGAAGTAATATAAGGCCAATCAAATTGTACGCGATTGATAAGAAGTATTGAGAGAGCAAACAAATGAAATTCACAAGTATCGAGAGTGAAATTCAATAATTTAAAAGTTTGGACACTAAGGGAGGTTATTCAATTGTGACTTTCGAAAATTTTGAGTGACTTTTTAAAGTGATGACTTATGTGGATTTCATGGATTTTCTAGAGATTTGTATGGAAGTAGTGAAAGTCTTTTATAGATTTTTATAAACTTCCATTTTAAAACATTTAGAGACTTTTGTAAAATTCAAAAGACTTTTGAAAACTTTCCTTTGAAATAGAATTCACGTGAATCTTATTTTATAAATTTACATTTTAAAACTTTGAGACTTTTGTAGAATTCAAATTTTTTTGGAGACTTTCATTTGAGATAGAATTTATGTGAATCTAGTGTAATATTATGAAATTATCAACATACGAGGTGATACTTCTCACAATTCTCCCTTCTCCTTCATTTTCCCCCCATATAATAAAAAAATATTTTAAAAAGAATAAAAATTTAACACATTAATTATTATACATATAAAAAATAAATTTAATATTCAGTATTATTAATATAATATACCTTTAAAAAATAAAAAAAATTATATATTTAAATTTAATTATAAATTAGTCTATATAAAATTTAATAATTTAATTAAAAATAAATTTTTTTCAGAAAAAATAAATGAAAAAAGAAAAAAAAAGTTAATCCTTTCATAGAAAATATAAATAAATAATAAGAGAGAGAAAAAGAAAAATAGAAACTAAATATAATCAATAGAAAAAAAAATCATAGCCCTAATGTTCGTAGAAGGGAAAAGGAATGGAAAATATTGAAAAAAAAATACATAATAATAATAATTTTTTTTTTTTTTTTAAGTGAAAGTTTCCCAAAATCTTGTAATTAATGAGAGACAAATTTTGAGATTTTATTTTAATACTTTCTGCATAAAAGTTAGAACCATGGAGACTTTTATAAAAGTTTCTAAAAGTCATAAAAATTTGAATACCCCAAGACTTATAGAGACTTCTAAAAAGTTTTAATTGAATACACCGTAATTTTTAGAAATTTTTTAAAAGTTTAAAAAAGTCTCAATTGAATACACCAATACTTTTAGAGAGTCTCCAAAAGTCTACATAGAATATCCCTAAATTTTTTAAATCTCAAAAAGTCATTAAAAGTCTCAATTGAATACCCCTCCCCCTAAAATTTCACAGTTTCAGAACTTTCAGAAGACTAATTTCGAATGACTAGAGAGGTTTTGGAGACCAACGAGTTAGCTTTTGATCACTATTTCATTGAATTGTGAATATGTAATGAATTAAAAATTTAGTTACGGATCCAGACAACATACTAAAATTCAACAATTGGATATAAAGTAGAGATACACTTTTATTATTGTTGCGGCATTAATTGAACTCTTATGCGATTTAATGAATTTAGTTTAAATTTATTCTGATTCACATAGATATATAGTGAGTTGGCTCGACTAGATAAAATTGATTTGAACTTGAGGAATATAAATTGATTAAATTAGTGAATTCCTCTAAATACAATATTAGGAATGGATCTTGAAAGCAAGCTAAAGAAAATAACTATGGCATGACAACGGTAAGGCAGCCACCGTGCCATATCCATTTTCCCAAAAAAGGATGCTCATAGATAGATAGTAGGGCACATATTTGCTCAACAAGAAGTTTCATGACAGTTGTTTTCCGTTGAGATAGTTGTGTAGTTATTTCGATATGCACTTAAATGTCACGCAAATCAATATTAATGACATTTTTAATATGTCATCAAAAGTGACCATTTTTGTAATATTGGAAAAAAATTGATTATCATTTCATGTCTTCAAGCGTTATTTTTTTTTTAATATAACAACATTTGAATTAATGAAGTAACGATAAATTCATAGGTATGTTGATTTCCAACTTCTTCAAAACATAAAACAAAAGTCAAGTTTCAATTTCCAAACAAAAAAAAAAAAACTACTTTTTGATCGAGCATGACTTCTTTATTTTGATTGATTAAACAATTCCAACCTTTAAGGTGTGAATCCACACAAAATTTCATTAATGGAAAAGAATAGTAAATAATAGTGAAATATCTCTCTAACCACTGCACAAAACCCCCCAAAAAATCAACACTCGTGTCTCACTACTTTGCTAATAAAGAACTTAAACCATAGAGATAAGGAATGGTGTCCCATCCAATCCCTAAGCAAACTAGTGTCCAGCTCAAGTGTGTAAGCATTTGTAAATTTGTTTCCTTCACCAGAGCTCGGACCAGAATCCTTAATTCCTCCAAGTGTTTGAGCATTAGTAAATTTGTTTCCTTCACCAGGGCTCGGACCAGAATCCTTATTTCCTTCAAGTGTTTGAGCATAGGAAAATTTGTGTCCGTCACCAAGGCTTGTGTGAGTTCGCTAGGTGCCGTTAGATTGATCTAGATTATAAGTTAGTTCAACTTTACGTGCGGAATTACGCTAATTAAAGCAAAAAGTCACTTTTAATTAGTTTCTAAATGGTTAAGCATACAATCCAATTTCCTTAAGTTGAATTACCGCAGTTATAATATTTGGAAAGCAATAAATAACACAAAATTTGATGACGGAGAAACCCAACTGCGTAAAAACTCCAGGACTAAGCCAGTTACCTCCGCTATGGACAATGTGGGTTATAGTTTAATTCCAAACTAGTTCCACTAGTTGTTGTAAACCTTGCAACTCCAAGATTTGTTGCTCATTCAAACCTTACGATCTGCTACCGTAGATACTGTCTAGCCAACCCCACTAGACCTCCTGATCTCAATCTTCTACCAAGATATGTTGTCTCAGTCTCACAATCTTGTGCACACGCCTCTTCCAAGTGGATACCCAAGAATCACAGTGCAGGTTCTGGTTCTGGACCAAAAAGGTGCTAGTGCCAGCTGATGCAGCAGCGTTCCCCCGGTTTGGAAGAAAATTACCTTTCTGTGGCGATCTTCAAGTTGTTCCATCATCATCTCTGTCTTTTTTTTTATATATGAAAATAATAGAAAGCAGCAAACTATAGGAGCCCATAACCAAACAATCACAAAAGTAGGGAGGAAGAAGAAGAAAAAAGGTGAAACT